GTGCAGTGTGTGACGATGGGGTGAACGTTAAAGAATGGTGGAGGCAGTAGCGTACGCAGGGGGGGAGCAGGGGGAGCGGCCGCTCCCCCTCTGGCCATTTTCAGCAAAGCGGCGCCTTTTTGGAAACTTTTTAAACTCAACGTTTTAAACAATGATATTTGTTTAAAAATATTTTTGGTCGGCACATCTATGTAAATCACAAGATTTCTTTTCATGCAGCAATTAAGCATTATTGTACTAGTCTAGTAGTGTCTACGTTTACAACACGTATTAACAGCTGCACCAGTTCGCCATTCTAAAAATAATAAATAAATTACGATGCATTGCAATGTTTAAAAAACCTCTACGGGTAGTACCACTTGGCAAGAGGGGTGTTAAGTTTAAGGCAACTGTATAATGTATTTGCTTACGAATAAGTGAATTAGAAAATGTTATACATAAAACTTCACACATAATTACTTTATATATACAGTTTGAATCGTGTGATTAATTTTTTTAAAATTACAATACAGAAACAAATACAACTGATTTGGCACCTCTATTTAAATTTACTTATGAGCAAACTACGTAGTGTTGGGGAAATTTTGACAATGTCAACAAAGTCATCACGATGAAGTAGTAGTATTCTTACAGTTTGGGCGATAGTGATTACGATTACAAATTGTATGAAACAGTTACAACCCCCCTCCCCCATGGACCCCTCTGTAAAATAATATTGTCATAATACCACTGATACTTATTGAAATCTATTTCTGTAATATATATTTGTGTAATATATATTTGTGTAATATATATATGTATGCTTAGAACAGTCATCTAAAAACTGAAGCTATGTTCACTCTGAGTTGGTTATCTCCCCCCCCCCCCCCCACACCTCACCACCGAAAGTGTGTAGAGCGACATTAATGTCACACCTAGGTATACACTGGGTTGGATAATTGACCTAAAGTGACAGGACAGTGGTGAATGAAGTTGATCCCCCCCCCCCCCCCCAACCAACCCCAAAATGATCTGTTAAGTACATGTAGAAAAAGTACCATGTCGCCAGAAAATTATCTTTTTAAACGTATAACTCTATGAATATTTTTTTGCAATTACCAGTAAAAAGGTGGGTGATCAATACAGTGATCTAACCCGTACCTATCACTATGTTTATAAACCGGGAGTGATCTCCCCTAAACCTTCTCGAATATTCTTATATAAAATAACAGGGGATGGGAACTCGGGCTATAGACATGATTTTTAATCCATTTTAAATACTTAAAGTTTTAAAAATAGAATAAAATCTTGTAGACAAATTAATTGCACACCAAGTGAACGCCAAATTAAAAAGTGCATAATAGTGCGCAATATTATTATTACTTTTAAAATTTACATTAGTTTTTTGAGAAATCGGAAGTAGCGTAAAGTACTACTTCCAGTCAACGGAAATGACTCAAAATTTAATAGAAGGTAGAGAATTAGATATTTTACTAACATATGAAATTTCATTTATCTATCTGAAATAGTACTCAAGTTATAGGCTTTTGAAAAATTCAAAGTAGGAAAAGTACCACTTCCGGTTATCGGAAATCGCTCAAAAATTGATATGGATCTACGATTTTGATCAAATACTTATATATGAAATTTCATCAACCTAGCTGTAACGGTACTCAAGTTATCGTGTTTACACACGGACAGACAGACAGACAGACACACACAGACAGACACACAGACAGACACACAGACATACGGACAAGATTGCAAAATTATGTTTTCCCGTATCAGTGAGGTGTGAAACGTCGAGATTTGTAAAAATCTCGATTTTTTTTTTGCACGATTACAAGACTTTCTCTATACTTCGTATATACGAGAAAGTAAAAATGATCTTTAAAGAACACGAAGAAGCAGTAGTTAATTAAAAAAAATATGATCTGAACTAAAAGACCGATAGTCAGTTTAGTGTAGGCTGTCATTCCGATTGTTTTTTTTTAAATTATATTGAAAAGCGTGGTTTTATACTAACTCTGATTTTAAAAACTTTCGTTATGCTGTAATACTTAAGCTTTTATGATGACGATATATTGAATTCTGATTATAGACAAAAACATTTTGTAAACACAAATAGTGTTAAACAATTTCATTATATTCTTTAGTAATTTTTTTTTTGTTTTGACATTTTAAATTAAATGTGTAGATATATACATATTTATACTAAGAGAGTGATTATTTCCCCTATTTCACTTGTCTTAAATAATTTCCCAGGAATTATTATGTAAGAAACATTTTTTACAAGAATTACAAAAAAGATTGTGTTACGTTAATTGTTTTTGGTTGTAGTGTTGGTATATATTTTTGTTTTGTTTAGATTGATACATTTTTTGTTTTGTCGGCCTACATTGAGTTTTTTTTCTTATTTCTTCAGAGTGCTACTTTCAATTTATTTTCTATCATAGCGAAGTAATGACATACAGCTAGTAATTATATATATATATATATATATATATATATATATATATATATATATATATATATATATATATATATATATATATATATATATAATACACGTATATAGAACGTGTTAAAAATTCGGCGCCTTTTTTTGCTCTTTTCGCTCCCCCTACAACGAAAACCTGGATACGCCTCTGGGTGGAGGGGGGGGGGGGGCGTGACATTCTTGATGGACGACCACTTTATTCTCCTCTTAGTCTTCTTCTTCTGCGTCCTTAATTTAGTTTATGGTGGAGGATTTAAATGAAATGGACTATGGTCTCCAGATCCGCGGGTGCCCCATATCCATGTAGTTTTTCTCCTCTTAGTGCTCAAGTGTCTATTTCCACGGCTAGTGTCAGAACGCTTGCGAACTCTTCACATAGTGATGTATTCACATGCTGGCCTTTACTGAAGGACAGACAAGAAAATACACACTGCCAAGATTTATTTGTGTTTTGTAATAATTTGGTTTCCGTGATATTAAACTAGCGGTCGTGACAAATGTTTAGAGGTCTTCAAGTTAACAGCAAACTTATGTAGATTCCATGATATTAAACTAGATGTTGTGACCAATGTTTAGAGATCTTCAATTAAACAAGCTGTGGGTGTTGACTGAAAGCCCCCTGCTCTTGGACTTTTGTTGCAATGAGCAGCAGTGTTGTTTCGGTGTTGTTTCAGTGTTGATTTAGTGTTGGTTTAGTGGGTCCCTGGTGATATCTAATGGGTGGCCATCATATAGCAAAAGGAAAGTGCTTATATATATATATATATATATATATATATATATATATATATATATATATATATATATATATATATATATATATATATGCGTGTGTGTATTTAAATAATGTAGATTACTAGAGATTTAGGTAATTATATTTTAGTAATTCATTAAACTTTATTAAGAAATCTTATGCCAAAAGTCTGTTTTGTAACACCTTACAATGGTTTTGTAACACCACTACGAACACTGTCAATCACAAGATTTCAGGTCTTGCCTTAAAGATGTTTCTCTATCTCTTGAGCTTCCCCTCTTAAAACCCCAGACAAGGCCAGATAACTAAGTTTAACAACAACAAAACAAATATCCATAGGAAAAAAATCAATTCTTGTTTTATTTTATCACAAAGCCAAAACTCATCAATGTATCATTAACTGAGTAGTTTAGCCAGTGTATCACTAATGAATCAATTAATTATTTACATCATTTGTAAATAAACAAATTAAATGCATATATTTATACACAAATTTGGAATCTTTTCAACAATATTTACAAAAACATTTAGCAATGGAATAGTTGAATATACATATTTAATATCTGTAAAAACAAAATATTTTTACATTGCTAAAAGTTGTTTTTTTTTTAAACCCAGGTTTATTTGAGATTAAACATTTTATCTAGTTATTCCCCTTTGGTTGAAAAAAGTTTTAGAAGAAATATTTTTAAAATCCCCTAAATGTTCCATTTTTAAGTCCCCCTAATAAACATTTTAAAACCAGGATTCCTCCAATACTGAGTATTTTGCGCTAAACTGAAATGGAGCAGGTGGGATTGGAGGGGGGGGGGGGTAAATTTACATACTCAAGTGTAAATAGTGAGCAAGATTTTACTAGCTATCAACTTTTCTTGAAGCTTCAATAGTTGAGAGAATATCATCCTTGTTTTAATAAATCAATGAAAAAAATTATGGAAGGTGGAGGGAATAATATTTCCCTAACCTAGAAAACTTTACATACTCAAGTGTAAATAGTGAGCAAGATTTTACTAGCTATCAACTTTTCTTGAAGCTTCAATAGTTGAGAGAATATCATCCTTGTTTTAATAACTCAATGAAAAAATTATGGAAAGTGGAGGGAATAATATTTCCCTAACCTAGAAAACTTTCTAGAAATCATCCTATTACTAAAATTCAAATTTTTGTTGTTGGTTGTTATTTTGTATTAAATCTCTCTAATACAGAAAATGCATCCTTGAAATACTGTTTGTAACTACGTCACTACTTGACCTAAATTAGGATAGATCTAATTTAGTCACAATTATTTGACTTAAATTTGAAGTAGTGTTTATGTTTCTTAACATTGGCATTTGAAGGGATAGTGTTGTCAGCACTATGCCCAGTAGTCTTTTCTTTCCCTAACGTAAGTGAGGTACACATCAAAGCTGGGTGGCCTCTGGGACACCCTACTGTCACGAGCAGTGGTGTAGCGAGGTCGGGGGTGACACCATTAAGTGCGACACCGGGTGTCGCACTTAATGGTGTCACCCCCCAGAGGCGTAGTGACCTATCCCGGCGCCCGGGGACAAACATTCGATTTGCGCCCTCCACCATTGTCGGGATTTGTCAAATTTGCTCTTAAAAGGCTATTTAACACTCGAATTAATCACTTAATTAAGTGGAATTATCATTTTTCTTTATATATTTTGCTATTTTTTGCCTTAGTGTCACCCCCCTAAATGGTGTCACCCTGTGCGGTCTGCACCCCCTGGCCCCCCCCCCCCCCTCGCTACGCCACTGGTCACAAGTCTGAACAGTGATCCCAACTTGAGATCTTCAGGCTAGCAGCAAAATGTTATGCCATTCAACCACACCATCCAATTTGACTTAAACTTGCTATAACTAATTTAGTCACAGCTACTTGAGTTAAATTTAGCTCGAATTTTCAGCAGTTCAATTGTAAAGTTTATTTCCAAGTTCAGTAACTCTCACCACTTTGTTATATATATACCATATCTACATCTTTAATAGTTATTCTATATTATTTCTTGCTTCAGGTAATGAAATCACATGTACGAGTTTTTACTAGTTTAGATCCACGTTATATATGTTCGTTTGTGAACAGTTAGTGGCGAGATCGGACGTCGTTTGTGTCGGAAATTTTTTGTTTCCGAGTACTCTGGGAAGTGTCCAGACAAAGAGGTCATGGAGATGCCGGAGTCTTCATGAGACCGTCGATGATGCCGGTGGTGCTGGCGGCTCTTAGATTCCTCATGAGGTGGGGTGTAGTCGCTGGCTAAACTGCTGGAGCGAGAATGTTCCGGCGAAACGCTACTACTGAGAGTGTCATTGCTAAAATCCGAGAACGAGTTTAATTGGTCCATGGGGTATTGGAAATCTCCATAATCAACACAATTTCCTACATCACTTCCTGTTAGAGAGAGATTATCCATCCCTGGGGGAGGGGAGTTCACTTCAACGTCTGCTAAATATAACGATAGCGGAAGATTTGGATTATCATTCCTGGAGTTGTGTTGAGTAACCACTGGAGTCCTGGCGGACTCTAGGTCTATTCTTAGATTTTCATATGTGGGCGGGGAGAACTCCTTGTACGGGTTGTCCTCGCTGTAGGGTGGGAGGGTTGCGCCGTAGGGTGGGTTGTATTCTTCAAAGTCAGGTAGGTGAGCGCTTCTTGCCATCTGCCTTCTCCACTGCAGAAGAAAAGTAGGTTAACTATTTGTGCAAACTCATTTATTATTACTAAATTAATTTAATTAATTAATTAAGTATTATAAGACAAAGTAAAAAAAATTGTAATAATTTTTATTGGATTGAAATTTTAAATTTAATTGTTGTAAGGGAGGCAACCAAGATCTTAAAACAATTTATTTGGTTGCTTCCCTTTGTACGCTTTCTAAAGAATTCTCGCAGACCAACTTACAGGTTTAAAAATAAACTCGTAGGTTCCTCTTCCTTCCGTCAGTTCTTGATATTGCGAAACGACACAAGCGAAGCAGTAACACTGTGGATAGATATTATTTTTTTTAATTCTATGCAACTCAAAAGTGTTTTAAAAATCTGTGCAACATAACAAAACAAAAATAATGTGCATGTTTGTGTATCAGTGAAAATTGTTAAAAAATAAAATAATAATAAATAGCATTATTTTGGAACAAGATATATGTAGAAATTATGGGCTATTATTTTTCATTTTATTTTGATATTCCATGATGTAATGGACAGCTTCAATGGGATGAATGAGCTAAACGTGTATAACACACATTTGTATACTATATTTTTATGAGTGGTTAAAAACTTGAAGAAGAAAACTCACATTGGCTAGGAGTCTCACACAATAGAAGGCTACAGCCACTATCTCCCAGGGGTCAAGGTCCTGTAACAAAAGAAAGGTCAGACATAAATATACTGATATAATGGTTAGACTCTTAGTCAGTTACTTGATGGGACCATTATAAACTTATGTTGGACTAACAGGGAGATAACTCTATACTGTACTAACGGAGAGATAACTCTTTGCTGGACTAACAGGGAGATAAGTCTATACTGTACTAATAGGGAAATAACTCTATCTAGTCGAACAGGGGAATAACTATGTTATTGGCTATTTCATCACCATCATCTGATCCCACTCGTGCCCAAGACACATGGCATAGATAAAATAGGATTCATCTGTTTCAATGAGCTCGGCATATGAGGGATAGTTTGGTCAACACTATGCACAACCGCCTTTCTAACGTGAGTCAGGTACCCATCAGAGCTGAGTGGGCTCAGGGACGCGAACCCCAGAATTTGAGTTAGCATTTGTAAGCTTTACCACCCAACAATGTCGTTCCATGGGTCTTATTTACCGCTTGCATTAAATCAGTCATCAACAAACAGCTAACTATACACGTATTTGCATTATATTAATCATCAACAAACACAATAATAGACGTACATATAACAAGCTACGTCAGAGTAGTTACTAGTCACTATTTTATTTTTCTCTTTTTTTATATGAGAATATGTTCTTATTTTCAGACAAGGTGAGAGAGATAGAGCGAAGGGCATGACGTTTTATTCGTTTTATTCCGAGATGGGGGAGGGGGAGGGTGGGAGACAGACAAACACCCATTCAGACAGAAGCAGACAGACAAGCAGACAAGAACGGACGTTAGATCCTCCCCCCCCCTCCCCCCCCCCCCACCCACATTAAAAAAACAACATAACAAAACCCAGAAAGGAAGACAGCGCCAGTACTTCGTTAGTGTTTGTGGTTACCATGGCAACGCTGTGACCGGGCCGGGGAGTCGGAGCAGACTGCTGACGTCATTTCACGAGGTTAGAAATTAAATCGATTTTTTTTTAAACCCCGCACTTAAACTAGGTTAGTGTCCTTCTGCCTACAAGCAATCAGACGGAATGGATTAAAACTAGATATTCCAGGCACGAGCTTTGTGGGCATTTTTGTTTTTGTTTCTTGCCTTTTTTGTTCTTTGTTGATTTTTTATATTTTATTTTTTAGGTGGGGATTAGGAATGTGAAATGGGAAATGTTGGGATAGCGCCAAAGAGCAAGCGAGGTTTAGCTAGGGCTGTAGAACTAGAGATAGATTTTCAAGGGGCTTATCGAAGGTAGAAGACTAGATCGTTTGTTTGTAAAAGGGCTAATTGTGAGAGGTAGAGGTAGATTGTGTAAGGGCTAATTATGAGAGCTATAGATGAATTTCTAAGGGCTAATTGAAAGGGCTAGTGGTAGTTTCTGAAAGGGAAGTAACCAACACTCACATGTTCCTTCTCCAGATGGACGGTGGTGATGAGGGCTATGGCCCCCGTCTCGTACAACACGGTGATGACCAGCACGTATATCCATGGCAACAACAAAAACTTCCGGTCCTGCAACACACCAAACAAAATTACACTTGGCCACAAAAAATTTCTTTAATTTCATATTTTTATATTGTGTTTATATTTATTACATTGTATTCATTTAAAATGGGCTAAAAGAATTCGAGTAATACGATCTATCAAGAACTAGCCGAACTGACTTAAAGAAAATGTTTACTATATCGAGACTGACCATGAGGAATAGAAAATGTTTACTATATCGAGACTGGCCATGATGAATAGAAAATGTTTACTATATCGAGACTAGCCATGAGGAATAGAAAATGTTTACTATATCGTGACTGACCATGAGGAATAGAAAATGTTTACTATATCGAGGAATAGAAAATGTTTACTATATCCAGACTAGCCATGGATAAAAAAAAATATTTACCATGTAGACCCCGGGTAGCAGTACTAGGGAGACACCGATCAAGACGGAGTAGAGAACGAATCCAGCGTAGACGATGCCTTTTAGTTCTGGGGAAAAAAATTCTTTTAAACTCAGTCACCACAAATGGAACATTTACTTTAACTAAACTTTTCCAATGCGCCATTTTTTTTAATGAAAACATATCAGACGCCAATAATGTTTCCTTATACCAATAATTATTTAGATACGGTAGACTCTAGTCGAGACTCTAATTAAGTTTATCGATAATTGCCCATGTGACTAATGAAGCAAATGATTAACTTACCTATGGAGTCCCTCATCTCGTCCAGGGCTATGTACCTCAGCATGTAAAAGGCCAGGCACACAACGGATATTACCTGTGGATAAAAATAGAACAGGTTTTAAACAGTTAGCATTTTATGATTTGCGAGCTTTCTATGTACAACTGAAACTATTGAAACATTGATGGCGCACACGAAGAAGTCTTAATTTTTTCCATGACGCCATCTTTATAATGATAGGTCTGATACAAAATAATCATCACTATTCAGTTTCAGTGTAAAAAAAAGTATTTTACATTTTGAAGTTACTCTAAGAAATATCAACTGATGTGATGTATGATGAGTATCACGTTTGAAGTCATTGAAACAAGTATCCACTTGTATGATGTGTGATAAGTTTTGATAACTATCAGGTTGTGGTATAGATGTGTAGTGTTTGTTTGTGTCTATTGAAAGCTCAGGGACACGGGTGATGTATAAACCTGTGTAAACCGTATAAGCAATCGGTAATGATTTAGTATGTTTCCAAACATCGTCGGTCATTTTGATAGACATACGAGTTTACTTACTGTGGCCGGGGTCCGGCCTATCGCGGCTTAATTGGAGCTTATCGATGCCATGTAAATACCCCCTCACGACCCCTGTCATTATAATTGGACAGAGATATCGCCAGCCATGACTAAATTGATAGACACCCCCCACCCCCACGCTATCAAGTTACTATGGAGACAAAATATGCTGCAAATACCATTTTTTGTCATGAATATGCTAATTTTCTAATGCCGGAAGAAATTGACTTTTTTATGTCTAGTTTTTTTTCTTAATTGAGTGGGAGTGTTTTTTAAGTGTGTCGGAGAGGGGGGGGGGGTGATTGCAAAAGTCGGATATGGGCGTCGAAACATCACCACGAACAAAGAAATAATCATATTTCTACAACGGCCTCCGCAAGCAAGGCAAGACGCCTGCGTCAACATCCGCTGCATGACGTCAACAGAGCGGTCTTTGTCGCCGTCGAAACGTTCGGCAACAAAACACAAAAACTCATCCGGCTCAATTGTCTCAGTGCGCATGTCTGCGTGACTTGATGCGCAAAGACAACATGGGGGCTGTGTACCGACCAACACGCGGCACGCTACACGCGACACACAATCAAACATGACCTCTCGCTTTGATCTCTCGGACCGGCCAGTGCGGCACGTTGCACTGATACGTTTGTAGCGTTGGTCGTTGGTGTAGTTGGTGGACGTTGTAGTTGGTGGACGTAGCGATAATCTACTCTGAAACTGATTCATTTGTAGCGTTGGTGGTTGGTGGACGTTGTAGTTGGTGGACGTTGCGATAATCTACTCTGAAACTGATTCATTTGTAGCGTTGGTGGTTGGTGGACGTTGTAGTTGGTGGACGTTGCGATAATCTACTCTGAAACTGATTCATTTGTAGCGTTGGTGGTTGGTGGACGTTGGTGTAGTTGATGTAGTTGGTGGACGTTGCGATAATCTACTCTAAAATTGGTTCATTTGTAGCATTGGTGGTTGGTGGACGTTGGTGTAGTTGGTGGACGTTGCGATAATCTACTCTAAAATTGGTTAATGTATTTGTAACGGTGTAGTAGTTAGCAATGCCTGAACGTTGCGTCACACTACTGCGGGCGTCAGCACTACTCCAAGTCTAGGGCTATCCCCACTCCCGTTTTAGAAAAACTGAACTGCTGATGTATAATCAATCAACGATCAGCTAAATGAAATCCATAATCAATTAGCTGTTTTGAAATATTAGATAAGTGTATACATTGCGAGCCTTATAATAAGTTCAGTTTCTCTTACGACATTGGACAGATAAAGTAGGGTTCATTTATTTCATAGCCTCGAAAGATGAAGAGATGGTGTGGTCAGCACTATGCCCAGTCGCCTTTACTTTCCCCAACGTAAATTAGGTACCCACCAGAGCTGGATAGACACGGGGACGTCCTACGGTCACAAGTCCGAACCGAGATCTTTTAGCTACCAGCTAAACGGAGCCTTATAATAACCACTGTTGAGAATAAAAGAGTAACCGCCCCTCAATAAACATGATGTTTACGGTAAAGTAAAACTATGTGTTTTTATCGACATCCAATTTATAGGGCTAAATTATGTAGATCTAGTACGTAAACTTTCGGGTTTTACTGAAAGTGTCCGAAAAAATCACCGAAGAAATCCGAAACCAACGAAAAACGAGAGAACCACAGTTCTAGGCTTCTCTATAGTTGTTATCAGTCGTGTTTGGTGGTGGTTGTGTTATTTTACCGCTGTTGTTTTACAGTGTGTAGTTTTTTGATTTGTCGTTGTGTGTTGCTGACATCCCCCCCCCCCCCCACACACACACACACAACACACACCACAAACTGCAGTGTGAGGAATTCTTCAGATGAGGCTCGCTTGGTCGCGCGCCCCCAGCAGAAAGGGAAAGCTCAGTGTTTAGCACTCAAACGCGACGCGTCCCTGGCCACAATCGAGCATTATCCCGGCACGACAACGAACCAACATTGGCCACCGTGGCCTTTCATCTCCGTAACGAAGCGAAAGTAAACACAATCGGGCACTCCCCCAACAAAGGAAAAAGTTGGATTTGACAATGTGATTATCGTGTTGTAGCGATGGTCAACATTTTAAACTTTTCTGATTAAAAAATAACACACGATTTTTTAAAGAAACAAACCTTTTGTTTTATTAACTAAAAAGATACTTTAAAAGAATATTTAAGTTTGCATTGCATTTATTTTTATTCGTTATATTTTTGGATTTTGATGATTCAGGATCATTCCATCTTCCGAAAATAAAGTTCAATGCCAAACTTTAAACAGGGAATAATCACTTAGTAAACACACCTAAACACATTTAAACACAACACAGAAATAAATCCGTCTAAACAATACATCACGCTGTGGTCTAACCGTTTTAAATAAATGTTTTATTTTTTTGTAAAGGCTGTCAGGAAAGAAACACAATGTATTAGTGTACTATGATTGTACTACAATTAAATGTACTATGACTACTTTGTGTACTATGACTGAATAAACTGATGTTCAGTAGCCAATCAGTGAATGTAGTACTTTTTGTTCTACTGTATAGTAGCTACTGATTAACGTACCACGCTAATGATTGAATTTGTGAATTAGTCATTTCCTTATAGAGAGGCTCTCTAGCACTAAACATTGCACTGTGCACTTTGTAGTGAATAATGTACTAGTGAGTGAATATTTAGAGAGTGATATACTGGTGAATAGAGTACTAGCAATGATTTTTTTTGTTGAAAAAAATGCAGGCTCTACTATTGGACTATTCAGTAACCAACGAGCAAATTATGTTTTGATGAGTAAAGTTCTATTGAGTTTACCAATAGCAATAATGTCTTGTTAAGAACATTACTATTGGGGATGGCAATGCTGTTTTTGATGAGTAATATACTATTGAATCGCCAACTAACAATGATGCTTTTGATGAGTAGTATACAATTGAATAACCAACTAACAATGATGTTTTGGATGAGTTAGATTCTATTGAATAACCAACAAATAATTATGTTTTTGATGAGTACTATACTATTTAATCACCAACTAACACTGTTTTTGATGAGTAATATACTATTTAATTACCAACTAACACTGTTTTTGATGAGTAATATACTATTTAATTACCAACTAACACTGTTTTTGATGAGTAATATACTATTTAATTACCAACTAACACTGTTTTTGATGAGTAACATACTATAGAGTAACCAACTGACGATGATGTCTGGTTGAGTGCAGTACTATAGAGCAACCAACTAGTACTGAAGTATTACATTGTGCTGTTCTAAAATAAAACGTTTTCAAAAAAACGCCGGCCATTCCCAGCTCCCACGTTAGGTCATGACAACCCATCCATCATAACTTGATGACCGGCCCCCTACTGTGCCGGCTAAATGCCGGTTCTCAACAGAGCCGGCTAAAAAACTGGATCGATGAGGCTGTAAGAAAACGCCCCCCCCCCCCTTCAATTTGCATAAAGATTAGTGTTGTTTTAGCCAGGACAAAAAAACTGACGGCCATTTTGTTTTAACGTTTTTTTCTGGAATATTTCGGCTGGGATTGAAGTCAATAATCCATCTAAACCATGCCCACCCCCCTCCTTCATTGCTTCTTGATTTGATGTTACAATAGCTATTGTTTGAATAACTAAGATTTGTGTTTTATTATTGTGCATGGGGTTTTAATCCATTGTTTGTATTGTCCCATTTCTGTGTCACAGATCGTCTTCATGTTAAGCTGTGTTCGAATGTAACATGCTACAGATATAACCTTCAAGTAGTAGAACAAAAAAGGAGCTAAAATTCTGCGTTAAATGTATAGTTGTTAAAAGGTATATTTTTACTGTTAAGTTTTAGTGGTATAGTTTGCATGTGCTTGCTGAAGGTATACTTGTTAAAGGTATAGTTGTTAAAAAGTATAGTTTTACAGATAGGTTTTTGGTGGTATCGCTCCAGTGTTTTCATGATTTATATGTGCTTGATAAAGGTATAGTTGTTAAAGGTATAGTTTTCAAAAAGGTATAATTGATAAAGGTATAGTTGTTTAAGTTTTACAGATAGGTTTTGGTGGTACCGCTCTAGTGTTTATACGAGAGCTGATAAGAGCTCTTGATTAACACAGGGTGTGTGCAGTACTTTTTGTGTGACCCGTGTTGGGTCAGTACTCATGTGACCCGTTTTTGGGTCAGTACTCATGTGACCCGTGTTTGGCTCAGTACTTATGTATGACTCATGTATTGGTCATTCAACTTTATCACCCCACCCCTGGAACAAAGAACGCATATCACCCCTGGGCCGCTACAGAATTTACATACATTAACCTAAGTTTTCCACTCCCCCAATATCACAGACACAAAACGCTGTAAAACGGACATGCGACCCCCATAAAAACACGATCCCTACCTCCCAAACACACTCATTCATGTCGATTGTAGATGGTTATCACCCCCCCCCCCCACACACACACACACACTCCCACACACACCGATTCTTATTCTCCCCCCCCCCCCCCCAATCTGATTGTTTCCCTACCCTATAAGATTCTA